TAAAACATTTATTATGGTTGCCAATGTAGAATTAACTCATTTCAAAGCCCAAATAATTGAAAATAACGAACACTTGGATTGATTATGAAAATGTAAAGAAATTTGAAATAAATATGACGTTCATTTTGTCTTTATGCTTTTGTCGAACATACAGAAAGTAAGTATCATAATCAGATAAATATAGTCCTATAGGAATTAATTTTGAAATATAAGAATAAAATCAGAATTTGGATTCAAACACAAGAAAATAAGAACATTTCTAGAGGAAAAAAGTCAAGAAAGTAGCGTTGCTGTGAGATTTGATATTATTATTCTTCTTCTCCTTCATTATAATTGAGTGCAATACACTTGCGACAACTAGAAGTTATTGGTTCATTTTGTTCTTCTACAACGTTTTCATCTCTCATAGCATAAATATTTGCTAATGAAAGTGGTTCATTAATTTCATTTATTTTTGAAACCCCAATAGAGTCAGCTAAACGTCGTGCATTTTCAATATCCAATATTGATGGAAAACAATGTTGAACAATAAGACGACCAGAACGTAAAAGAGCAGAATCTAATGATACCAATGAACAATTGAATGTAGCCAAAATTTGAACTTGAATTCCATCACTTAAAAGACCGTCTGAAAGATTAAGTAGATTAGCGACTGATTGACTTGATGAACGTAATCGCGAAAGACTTCCTTCTGCATCTTCAATAATTAATAACGAATTTGGATAACGAAGAAGTAGAGGGATAAGTGCAGGACTTGTAAGATAATTAATCATGTCGCTTGGAACATAGATAAGATATCTTTCTTTTTCATTTGTTATACAATGAAGTAAATACCGTATATAATGAGTTTTGCCTAAAGAAATAAATGATAATAATAATAATGATGATTTTTTTTTTGTTTTGGTAATATATTTATTAATAATATTTACCTGATCCAGGTGCTCCATGTAAGAGTACAAGACCATTAGCATCTTTTTTATTAAGCCATGTAAGAATTTTACGATGCACATTAAGAAAATCTTGTCCACCATAACTCAGAGCTAAATCATCGATACGTGGCTTTTTTATATATGTATAACCCATTAAATAAAATGATTTTGAATCACTATTGCAACGATCTCTGTATTTTCCAATAAGACGTAAATTAGCTATTTTAGGTTCTAGCAGACTCAATGTGTCATCATGAATTAAATCATAAGCAAATTTTTGAATAAAACTCTCATGTTCTTCTAAATAGAATATAAAAATTTCAAAAACAACAAGAAAATGACGATCTGGAATATAATCAGGTTGAATTAATTTTTTAGAATTGTTTGTATAATTAGTTACCCATGAACATCTATTTAAATTGATGAGGACTCCATGAATATTTGGTAATGATAATAATTGTTCACATGCATAATATTGCTTTGAACATGGATGAAAATAACGTCGAATAATTGAGAATTCATTTTTTATATCACAGTTACCATATACCCGCTCTAATACACTTTTGACATGAAATGCTACGTTCGCTCCGTTTTCATTTGAAGCAGGTGTTATAGAAATTCTTCGAGGAAATCTACCATATTTTAATAGAAATAATTTGTTCACAGGTAGATCTCTGCTATAAGATGAATACGATAGCTTAGCATGTGAAATAATTTCATCCATTAGAAAGAATTTTTATGACAGAGAACCGCATATGTTTGTTCTCGCTTTTATATTGTGAACAAAATTGTTTTGATTGATTCATGCTTTGTTGCATAAGTGCAAATGTAATAAGTACTAATGATTCATCATGAATATTTTTTATTTCTTTTCAAATTCAAGACAAATAAACAAAAAATAAGAATTACACATTACGTTAGTCTAGTATTTTTTGTCTTACTAATTTATTTAAAAAACATAGATTTGAATATTTCATAATTACAATGAGATAGATATCTATAACAAACAAATTTTTTGTTTTAAAACTAATTTCATGATTCTGATTGTTGACTTGAATCGGATAGAGCTCGTTTATTACGTAGACTTTTTGTTCTACAAAAGAAAAAGAACATATTTGTACTCAATCACTTTTTCTCTTGTTTACTTACTTTGCTCTTCTTTTACTTGATGTAGATGCATTTGTCATTGATCGTGATGGTGGTTTTTCACTACTTGTTGTACTTTCATCTTCATCTTCAATATCTTCATCACCTTCATCATTTATTGGTTGAGTTGATTGTGTATTATTTTCAGAAGTTACTAAAATACATATAGTATGTCTTATCTTTTCATAAAGAGACATTCGAATGAAACATACTACTATTGTTTTTCTTATTTGATGATAATTCTTGCATGATTTCACGATGTTTACGAATATTTTTTCGACCTATACGAGACAATTTTTAGTAATTATCGAGACAAAAAAAGAAGATCAAACACTTACGTTCTTTTTCTCGTTCACGTTTCAATCGATCACG